TTTTAGGAGATTTTTACATCAGCGGATAGAGAACTTTTACTTCTATCTTTATATTCATTAGCACGCTTATCCGATCTAAAACGGCTTAGAAATACGCAGAATACTAGAAAACTTTGTGCAAGTGGCCTGAATTAGGTCAAGATAAGGTACCGAGGATTTGCAAGCTTTTTTTTTGCAAGCTATTCACAAAAAATGCACATAGTTGCTTTTTTCTCTAATGCATTATGAGACCATTTTGATTAAAGAAGACTACGAGATCATATTCTATTCATTTTAGCTTCTGAAATATGCTGTCTTTAGTAACGTTAATTTGGCTTTGTTTTCCATTATTCTGTTACTATTTTGTTCGGCCCTTGAATGATTCTTTAACACGTGGTTTTTTAACAGTATCGGGATGTATTTTATTAACCGTTTTCGGATGTAATAATCTGCCACCTCTCTATATGTCTAGTATAATGACTTGCTCGATCTACTGGATGGTGTCTATTCGTTTAATACACTTAATGCTCTTACCACATTCACAACGACATGCACTAACATTAAAATATTTCTTATATAAATTTGTTTGGTTTGTGTTGCCAGTGTCAAGGAATACGAAAGCTCAACGATCGCCATTTGAACTATTTCTTCACGTCACATATCATCTTTTACTTGCCGTAGGAAAGTTGTTTGTTACTGACGTGATATATTACTGGCTATTACAATGTTTAGAACGAATTGGTGGAGGAGATGCACTGAAAGAAAATTATTTTTTGACGATTCAATATATAGCCATATTCTATGTATCAGTTTGTTGTGGAACATTTTTAAATGATGCTCAAATTGCGTTAATTTCACTCATAACATTGGACAAATACGAAGTATTGCCATTCAACGACTGGCCTGTCCTGTCCTTGACTCCTCGAGAATTTTGGGGAAAACGCTATAACAAGCTAGTTAGTCATCTGTTACGCGAATCGGTCTTCGAACCATTACGAAATCAATTTCATCTCTCTTCGTCTTATGCAGCATTAGGTGCTTTCATCGTTAGCGGTATGTTACATCTCCATGTCGCAAAAGTCGGCTTCAATGGGAACATGTTTGCTGCATTATTATTCTTCGTTCTGCAAGGCGTCGCCTGTACTCTCGAAGTACGTTTCGATATGAAAAAGTTACCGAAAATAGTGTCTATGTTTCTTACGCAGACTGTTCTTTTAGTCACATCACCACTTTATCTGGGATTATTTATTTACGCAAGTCCGACGTTTCTTCAAAATAACCCACCCGACTTTAGACTGCCATTTCAAATACCAGTACCAGACTATTGCCCATCGTGAAAATCACTACGGAACTGTACTTTTTTTGAAAAGAATGATCGTTGGAATGACCTTTTATCATAAGCATACTTATGTCTGTTCTTGTATGAATTAGCAGTTGTAGTTGTATTTATAATTTTGGAAAATAGTTGATTAACCCTTCATGATTGACTGCCTTTTCAGAAAGACATTATCATGATAATAATTTTTATGAAAAAGGACCGAAGCGCCAAATCAAAAACTGGATCTTTTCCTAGCGGTTGATAAAAAGAAAATTTATTTTAATCGAGCCTAAACAAAGGTATACGATTTTCAAGTTCGGTTCGCACAATTATCTGCCGATTGTAAAGGATTAATAAATACACAAAGGACGAAATACCGATCTTCTGTAGTTGAGGCATGTTCAACTATTCAAACATGCTGTAGGTCTAAAAGTCGTAGCAATGATAGTCCTAGATAGAGTACAGTTCCTTATTAGCAGAGTATACATTACTAGGCATGCACCGGTTTCGGTTTTTAAACGAAACCGATCGTAACCGAAAATGTTGCACAAGTTCTTGAAAATACGTTAGACACAATATGAAGGAAGCATCTGTTGTTCAATCAATAACTGTTCATCCCGGAAGAAAGATGCACGGTGTACAAAATCAGAAATAAGCCAAATAAGTGGTATTTCTGACTTTTCACCGTGAAGGAAGAAGAGTTTCCCAA